TCTTTGAATTTAATGTTGAATTTCATCTGCTATTTTGTTGCCAAATCACCCTGTTTTGTGAGATCACTTTGTAACTCTTTGCAGTCAGCTTTGACTTAACTAACTTGAGTAATTTTGTATCATCTGCAAATTTTGCCACCTCACTTACCCCTTTTTCCAGATCATTTATGAATATATTGAACAGCACTGGTCCCAATATAGACCCCTGGGGGACACCACTATTTACTTCTCTCCATTCTGAAAATGGACCATTTATTCCTACCCTTTTTTTCCTATCTTTTAACTGGAGTGCCTGGCAATGCTTTCTGGATCATCTAATTATCTTTTAATTTAATTTAATGACAAACTTTTTGTTATCTTAATCACCCTCCGTTTATAAAGAAACTCCCTGCCCCAAGAGCAGAAGCTGGGAGCAGCACAGAATGTATTACATTCCACACTCCAGCTCCATCTGGGGCTAGAGCATGCATTGTGAGCAGACCTCAGGTATGAAACTCTGGGGGAGGGAGCCCAGGAACCACTATGACTCATGGGTGTTGAGCACCCCCTATTTTTTTCCAGGAGCACTCATGGAGTTGGTGCCTTTAGTCTGGGGACAAAACAGTGAGTTTGGGCAGATATAAAGAGAGAGAAGAAGCAATCTGGGCATCCATCACTGGACAGACAAAAGGGGCCAGAGCTCTTGCAAGCTGAGAAAGACAGGTGCTTCATTCAGTGGGCTGAAGTCTATGGGAACAGAATATATGTGAGAAACCTGCTTAGGCAAAGATCTTCCTCTGAGGAAGACAAGGGAACCCAGCACCTTGCTCTTTTATGGCTGCAAAGAGAAAGAGTGGTTGAAAAAAACTACGTTGAGCCAAGGCTTTAGCTTAAGTTAAATCTTAGTCACTAGGAAACTTATATTACTTTTATTTGCTTATAAGCATTTTTAACTTTATCCCTTTACTTGGTATCACTTAATCCACATTTTTCTGTTGTTAAATTTGCTTTACTCTTACTCTAAATCAACCCAGTGCTGTGTTTGAATTGATGTGAGTGTTAACGCCAGTTACATTAGTAAGCTGTGCTTTTCCCCCTTTAAAGGAGCAATGAACCTTATTATTTCTGAGTGCTCAAAGAGAGAGCTGGGCACATCAGAGCAGATGGTTTTGGGGAAGTTCAGGACTGGAAGTGTGTTGGGGTCACCCTGCAAATAGTAACCAAGGCTGGTGGGTGGAGTCCGGAGTGGGGCTGTTGTGTCGTAGGCAGGCTGCTGGGGTCAGAGCACTGAATCTGGGCTGCACAGCACACAGACACTCATGCTTGTCTAATGGCTGTTGATGTCCGGGCTGTGAGTCACAGCAGCAGAGCATTTAAGGTATCCAGGGTTACAGAACAGGCAGTGGCACAACCTCCTGTTGGTCTGTACTGAACCCCCAAAATGTGACATGCTGTCTGTATCACTGCATAACTAATGCAGCTTCCCACAATCCCCCACTCTAAAAAATACTGCCACTTTCAGTGTCCTGTGCCAAGGAAATGTTCAAACAAATTCCATATTGACAGGCCAAAGTGGGGGAGGGATGCTTTCATTTTTAGCCAGGCTCCCCAGGGGATCAATTCTGCTTGTGAGTAAGGAAGTGGTTACAGAAATGTAGCTTTTCCCTTGATCTGGCTTTCCTGCATGCCTCAGCAGTTTTGAAGATGGTTGTATTGTGCAGCGCCTTCTGTTTGCTGGACTATTGGAATCTGACTGCATTCATTAGCTAAACAGTTTGATTTAGTTATTTTAGGGGTGGGGTGGGGTGGGGTGTGAGTGCATGGTATGATATCTGACTAGAAACATGAAGACTCTCAGGACCAAAATCCCAGGCTGGTATAAACTGGCATCACTCCATTGATTTCAGTGGAGCTGGACTAATTGATATCAGATGAGGATCTAGCCCTGCATGTGTCATGTGAGCCAAGACCCAAAGAAATCTCCCCAGTATTAGATACCTAATGCCTGTGCTGAAAGGTGAGGGGAACAACTGATATTTTATTTTTCACTCCTCCCTCTCCCCCACCCAAAAAAATGGGTTTGTAAACTACAAAAGATCTGGCCTGAAGCATCAACAAACACGTACCCTAGAAACCACCTTTGGAGCCCAGCTGCCAGAACTAGGCACAGGGTGATGGGCAGAGGTCCCTTTCATTTAGTCAGATCTGCCATCGTGAGAGGTATGAGTGCTCTTTCTTCAGGTACAGTGAAGCAGAATAGAAGAGATGCTTCAGCCCCTGCCTAATAGTTTCCCCACTACACAAGTGAACGTCTGAATGTAGAACAAACTTTCCTGGGCTGTGCAAACTCCATTTGTGCATGTGTTGAGTTTTCACTGCCGGTTGCCCATCCCTTGCCCTCCCCCACCCTTTCATGTCCAACGCATTCTCCTCTTCTCTCCATCTCTGACTCTCTTTCTCCTCTATTGTTCTCCACGCTACCAAATGTCACTCACTTCATAAAGCTGTCTGGCTTGGAGCTTAAATATTGCAGGGCAACTAAAACCCACCCATCAGAGCCGATTCAGTCATATCTGCTCAGTCGTGCGACAAGGTTGGGACTTTTACAGTAGGGAAGGAAAGAGACAAAAGTTCACTCTTCGCTGCAGAGTGCCAAGAGAGAAGGAGGACACGTTCCTTCGGGGGAATCTTTTACTGTGGCAAGTTGCTTGCTGGATGGCCTTAATCTATATATGCTTTCTTTTGTTTCTAGCTTGATCAAACCATACCATTTGGAATTGAAGGGAGGGATTTTCAAATCCGGCTGGGCTTCAGTGGGACTTGTGCTCCTAATTCACTTAGGCGCTTTTGAAACTCCCACCCTAAAAGCCACAACCCAAACTTAATGCACTGGAGCCTATTGTTCATGTCGGACCTTGGGGGGTTGGTATGGCTGGTTAGTTTCTGGTAGAATCCTAGAAATCAGAGAGGGTCATATTTTCCAACTCTTGCCAATGCAGGATGGTTCCTTGCAATACCTTTTCTAGTGCTTTGTCCAAGTTAATTTTAATAGATGATTGGAGGGCTGTGCCAGGCAGAGCACATACAGCAGCTTAAGAATCAGTTCATTTACAAAGGCTCATTAAGTAGAAAGTGGAACAAGGCAGATTTCTGAAATGTGTGATGCTAGTTCAGAGAAGTTCCTGAGAAGGGCTTATCCGTCTGCGACAAGTTGCATGTAGGATTTTAGAAGAAATCATTTTAGTCAGAAGCCATTTTTCTTTCTCTGTTACAGTGAGTTGTCTGTAAGATAAACAGATTTGCCATGCATAACAATGTCACTTTTTCAAGCTGGGGTGGAGGCAGTTCATTGATAGCAGAGGATATCAGTGTTAAGATCATTGCAAAGACTGCACAGTATCAGTGGGACTGTGTTAACTACATTGACTGGAGAATGAAGTTTATATTGTGTAGATTTTTACTTAGTTGCACATGCCTGCTAATTGTCTGGTTTATTAATCAAAGGAATTATTTTAGGATTAAAGGAAATGCTATGTGTAATAATGGAGCTTTTAAATTAGTTTAGATAATGTATGTAAACAATGAAATCTTTGTATTGTATTTGTTCAAGTAAGTGCTCACATTAATACACTTTGCACAACTTCAGTGACTGATAAAGCAGCAATGTGTCTTGCTGTTTAAATCACATGTGCCCTGAAATCGTGGTTCACCTATCTTGCACATCTGAGGTGTGTGCATAAATGGGAGAATTACATCACATTCTCAGTGGTTTTAACACAGAGATGTGAACTTAAATTTTCATGTGGTACAAGGGCCAGAATAATGACTCCATTTTCGTCTTGATACATCTTTATCTTGTCCAATAATTTGTCTCATTCCCAGAGGACAGAAAACCCCAGAGAGGTCTCCCAGCTGTGGAGATATATTCCACTTATGTGGCCGTGATCTTCTAGACCCATGTGATTGAATATATTTATTCAGCACCTTTCACTGCCTCACTTGCAATCTTTCACTAATCAATCTCCTTGGGACTTAATGGAACATTCCAAATCCCTCAGGAGCTTCAAATGGCCTTAATTTATTAAATCAGCCTGACACAGAAATGTTTCCCCTGCTCCTCCCTAGCTGAGGCCTCTTCCCCTCCGTTCCCCAGAATTGTACTAGTCAAATGCCTTGAATGGGCCAGATTGAGTTCTGGACTGGTAGTAGCTTCTCTATGTATAAAAATGTCACAACTTTAAAGTTTGTCCCTGCAGGACTAGAAATGGGAGCTTTAGAAAGGGGAGTTTTCCAGCTTCGCAGTGGGATACCCACAGCACTGGCTTCTAGCCCTGGGAAATCCTGAGATTAGTCATGACATTTTTGTATAGGTCACTTTGATAGGCTTTTATGGTTTTGTTTTTATGAGCTGAACTCAGAGTAATGGAGGCATCTGACTTTCCAGGCAGAGGGGCACACAAAATAGTTCCAATAACATTTTTTTTAACTATCTAAAAGATTTCTAAAATAGATTACATGTAATGTGTGTGGCCTGTAAAGAATTCATGACAGCGTGGGGTGGCATGAATACTCACTTGGGATTCCCTACTTGACTACTTGTGATTCTATCACTTGCAAGTAATGCAGCCCCCCCAAACTCCATGGTGATAAAATCTTTACACTACACGACTGTCCTGTATTTATAGAATATATAAAACAAAATCACATTCATACACTTACAATTGATCATGCAAAACCCACAGAAAGCTATTATATAGAAGAGTGGTCAAATATACTACTTGGCTGAGAAGTTATTGAATATTTAGAGCCAGAGAGAGTTTACAGAGGAAATTTCCCTGGCTTCTTAGTTTTCCCTCCTCTAATAAAGCACTGTAACATAAGGCAAAAACATTTTCAAGGCATAGGCTGTTTTGGAGAAATACATAAGACTTAAAGGCAGAAGCAAGTTATGCATCAGTAGAAAAAAATATTTAGTGTAATTTATGGCCATTCTTTCCTTCTCTTCCCTTAGATAGTAAGAGATGGGTGACTGGAGTTTCTTGGGGAACATTTTAGAAGAAGTGAATGAGCACTCCACAGTCATCGGAAGAGTCTGGCTCACGGTGCTCTTCATTTTTCGAATCCTGATTCTGGGAACAGCTGCCGAATTTGTCTGGGGAGATGAACAGTCAGACTTTGTATGCAACACCCAGCAGCCTGGTTGTGAGAATGTCTGCTACGATGAGGCCTTCCCTATCTCCCACATCCGGCTCTGGGTCCTGCAGATCATCTTTGTCTCTACCCCTTCACTGGTGTACGTGGGGTATGCTGTGCATCATGTGCGGATGATGGAGAAGAAGAGAGAGAGGGAGCGGGCAGAAAGGCAACAGCAAGCTGAGATGGATGAAGAGAGGCTACCCCTGGCTCCAGACCAAGAGAGCACCAGGAACACCAATGAAATCAATCCCAAAGGGGGCAAGAAGTTCCGACTGGAGGGAACACTCCTGGGAACCTACATTTGTCACATCATTTTCAAAGCCATTTTCGAGGTGGGGTTCATAGTGGGCCAGTACTTCTTGTATGGCTTCCGAATTCTGCCCCTGTACCGCTGTGGCCGGTGGCCCTGCCCCAACCTTGTGGACTGCTTTGTATCCAGGCCCACTGAGAAGACAGTCTTCATTATGTTTATGCTGGCTGTGGCCTCAGTATCCCTCATCCTCAACCTTGTGGAGATCAGTTACTTGATCTTGAAAAGGATCCGCCTGGTTTTCAGGAGGCCAACAGAAGAACAACTGAGGGAGATCCCAGAGAAGCCCCTCCACTCCATTGCAGTCTCTTCTATTCAGAAGGTCAAGGGCTACAAGCTGCTGGAGGAGGAGAAGCCAGTGTCCCACTATTTACCTCTGACGGAAGTGGGGGTAGAAGCTGGTCCCCCTCCATCTTCTTTCAAAGACTTGGATGAGAAGCTTGGTATGGGGCCCTTGGAAGACCTATCCAGGGCCTTTGATGAGAGGTTGCCATCCTATTCTCAAGCAGAAGAGCAGAAAGAGGAGAAGGTAGAAGCAGGGGAAGAGGAGCAGGAGCAAGAAGAAGAGGAGGAGCAGCAGGAACCAGAAGAAGAGCTGGAGACAGAGAAGGTGGTAGAGGAGCAGGAGCCACCAGGAGAGGAACTGCCTTCAGTGCCTACTGAACTGACAGCTGATACGAGACCTCCCAGCAGGCTAAGCAAAGCCAGCAGCCGGGCCAGGTCAGATGATTTGACTGTATAAGGGTGTGGGGAGCAACTACACACACACAAAAAATCACAGATGTTTTTAAACAAAGCGCTCAAATGGTCATTTGAATATTTCCTATTGAGATTCTCAGCTGGAAAGGTGCTATCATCGTAACTGCACCTTATCTGTCCTGTATGTCCCATGGCTGGTGCTAGCTATCATGTAACATACTCAAAGGAACGGTTTCTTTTTTTCCAGATGCCAGCTTACTACTCCCAGTACCTATGCTATACACAGCACTGAAACATTTTAAAAACTAAAACAGGAAGAAAAAACCCCCACAAATGTATCCATTGTGATTGCACGTGCTGACAGTTTTATGTTCCACATTTCACTAGAGATGTGGGAGACTGGCTCTTTCAGACAGTATCTGACTGAAGGGTTGAAAAATAGCTATCTTTGGGTATTTCTTACTCTGTTTTAGCCTGTGGCATACTGACATTGGTCCTCCCTTCATTGCTGGCATAGAATTGCAATTATTTAATTCACAAAAAAGGATCCTGTGTTTAATATCATGAAACTAGATCAAAATATTATTGCCAAAATGGCCTTGCTTTGTTTGTGAATGCAAATTTCAGTTGTTTATAAATACCTTCCCAGCATCCCCTTTGTTAGAAACATTCCTGCTCTACAAGTGACCTTGATAACAGAAAAGATTAAAGCTAGTTTCTTGTTAGAATTTAGCAGATGCCCACAAATGGATTATTTATTCCCAACAGGGTCATTTTAGCCAAAGGTGTTTGTCAAACTGGGGAAAAGAGTAAATTAAAGTAAGATTGGTTGCTAAGTGGGGTGACTTGAGGTGTGGAAATTGACTTAGCAAAGGAGTGACGGGAAGGCATCTGTAAGTAGAACAGCTACAGCACATAGAGCACAATGCCCAAGGTAAGGCTCCCAGTCCTGTATTTGCAGCTTGATTGTGAAAGGTGCTTCCTTCTTGCAACTCCCAGGGAGTTATGGGCACTCAGCAAGTCTGAGAGAGAGACTTGGACACTCAGGTTGGCATTTAGGAGCCTAAAATGTGGATTTTGGTGGCCAAGTGACTGCTTAAACACCCAAATGCAAAACTGGTTGACCCAATTTAAGTGCCTAAGTTTGAAAAATAGGCCCTTAGTTTGAGTGATGTAACAATAGTCATTAGACATCCTGCTTTGTTGCTAATTTGATAAGAAACTCCATTTGCAAGAGGCTTCCAATACTCTACTTAGCTACTGAACACAAATGAATATAAAAAGGCTATTTCAAAGGATCAGTAATAGAAAATATTTGTGCCCAGAGGACTAAATGAATGCCATAGAGCTCCAGCAAAGTCCGTTTGGTTTCAAAAGAAATGAAGAAGAAAGAAAATCCATTTTCTGAGTGTGTAATTGCTAATGTTAAAAATGTCCACAGATTTCTAGCTTTAGGGCCACAAAAGTCTCTCTTTGGCTGGGACAGAGAAGCAACTTGTTTACAAGTTTCAGGTTAATCATTGTTTCCTGCAAAGACTGAGTCTGATGCCCAAAAAGTATAGGTATGTGCAGTGGTTTAACCAAAAAAAAAAAAAAAAAAGAAGTAAGTGAACCTTTTTTCCCAACTGAGAAGTGGGTAAAGGCCGTTTACCCACATTTACCCTCAACTATGCTACTGATACATGCGTTCCTCTGTTCTGCTTTCCAGACCTTAGTCCCTGCTAGCTCAGCAAATTCTCTCTGCTGTGCAGCAGCTCATGTGCATTGTTTCAAGTGGGGAGTACAATCCAGTTCAGAAAATTTACTTCACATGAGACATAAAACCAAATCCTGCAACTGAGTAGAAAAAGCCCATGGACTCTTATGAGAGCAGGACTCCTACAGCCTGACAGAAAGCCCACTGAAGTCAACAGGAGTCTTTCTATTGACTTCAATATGCTTTGGATCAAATGCTTAGTTCTGATGACCTAGCTGAATTGCAATATTCTGTTCCCCTACAGTAAATACCCCTTACAGTTTCAATTGGATACTGTGATTTTTGGCAATTACTATCCTCTATGGAGTTCCTGTGCCTTGTTAAAGAGCTGCCACATTCCACTCCAGAGATGGCTCCACTTCACTGGTGGGTGATGTGATTACTATATGTATGTATAATTTTTGTAAAGTGCTTTGGGATTCTTTGGTACTATAACAATGCCACATTTTTACATTATTAATAATTTTGTTCCTTTTGGGCTTGTCTTTTCCTAACGTTTGCAGCCTGATCTCACAACACATGTTCTTGATAAAGATCATTGGGGCATTAAGAAGCTTCCTTTTGAAGAGGGACTGTAAAGACTGAGACTGTTTAGTTTAGAGAGGAGATAACTAAGCGGGGATATATTGGAGGAATACAAAACAATAGATGATGCAGAGAAGACCATTTAGATGCTCCCAACCAGTCTCTCATAATACAAAAACAAGGGTGGGCAATCAATGAAACTGAAAGGCAACAAATGGGAAACTAATAAAAGAAAATACTTTCTGTACAGCTCATAATTAACCTGTGTAATTCATTGCCACAAGAATCCAGTGAGGCCAAAAGCTTAGTAGGATTCAAAATAGGATCAGACATCTACATGAATTGTAAGAACATCTGCTGTTTCATTGATTTCATCCTATCAAATAGGATACACTATTTATCAGTTTAAAGATGGGATATAAAACCTCATGCTTTATGGCATAAATGAGACCACTAACTGAATGGGGTTAGAAACACACTTCCCCTATGGCAGGAAATTCAACTGCTGTTCATTATGAGGTTTCTTTCTTCTTCCTGTGAAGCATGTGAAACTGCCAAATATCAGAATACGGGTCTAATGCCTACATTTCTAATTACTCGACAGGGCTCTTTAAACAATGACACATATGAATAACTGTCTGTTATTGACACTCTGACATGTATTAGAGCCAATTTCTGCCCTCCTTTGTGCATGCAGCACTCCGGTCACAGTCATTGGGACTTACATGCTCATGTACCAGAGGAGGAATATGTCCGTTGCCCCAATCCAGATATTACACATGATGTGTGGAATATGTCATTTGTGCTGTAGCATATGGGTAAAATAGACTGCACAAAGCCCATGTATTAAATTTATCTGGAGCACATGATGTACCTACTACATGGCTGCACCTGCAGGCTCCCGGTACAACACCAAATCTGCTACCCAGCACAATGAAAAACCACTCCACTCTCTCTGTGGCATACAACCAACTGCTTGTTTGGTGTCTCAACCCAGTTCTAGACTATCCCACTGTGTTCCTTACACACTCTGTAGCCTAAATGTGTGTACAGCGCTCTAGAGGCAGTGTTTCCTAACAATCAGAGCAGAGACCTGGGAATCAGGCCTCCTGCTTTCTAGCTTCAGCTCTGCCACTAATTCACTGGGTCACTTTGGCCAACTCATTTTTCCCACTGTAAAATCAGGCTGAACAATAATTTCCTACCTCACAAGGGTGTTGTGAGGCTTAATTGATTAATATTAGTATAGCACTTTTTGATCCTTAGATGCAAGGCCCTATAGAGGGCAAAAGTATTAGCATTATTTCAAGATCTGAAACCATTTGAGAACTAATGACAGTAAACCCAACAATTTCTTGGTGAAATTCCTAATGAGGTCACATAATGGCCTCAGAGCTGTGGGTTTAGCACATAGTAATATGTTTAACAAATGGTTATGCAAAAGACAAGAAAACATACCAGGGAGGGCAAAAATCTACTCCCTGGCTGGGAAGTCACTGAACAATTAGAGCCATGGAATAGATAAAGGAAGCTGAGAGTAGGAATTTCCTTGGCTTCCCACTACAAACAAGTTACTGACTGATTTCATGGGGTTTTTTTGTGAGGAGTGTAATATGCAAGTGTCAAACTCACCAAAGTAGGTGGGTGGGAGAGAGAGGCAGAGTCTTGACTTAAAGTAGGACATGGGAGTTGGTGTTGGTTAGTGCCTAAAGCAGTGGATGTAGAATTAGTTTTGCCAGATTTATTCCCAGCTCTGCTACTGACTCACTATGTGATCGTGGGAAAATCATTTAACCTCTCTGTGCCTCTGTTTCTCCATCTGTAAAATGGTTGTAATAATTTGTACCTACCTCACAGGGATGTTGTGAGGTTTCATTAATTCGACACAGTATAGTTATTCTTTAACGATAGAGCATTTGTCTTGGTTAGTACATGACTTCTTGGCCAGAAGGGAAATAGATTCAGATCCAGAATGTCACATTGCATTGTAGGGATCAATGATATAAAGTGCCTGTGGGCTTCAGAACCACAGTTATACTGGGCAAACCAGATCTTCACTGGGTGTAAAACTGTGCAGCTCCGTCAACCTCAATGAAGCTGCTGATTGACACCAGCTGAGGATCAGGCCCGGTATTTACAAAGCTCTCGGAGGTTACTAAACCCTAATTTTAATCAGATCCAAGCAAGCACCTGATACCTTGCAGTCCTGCAATAAAAGTAGTTTTACTTATAATAGTTTATGGCAGGTGCAGAAAAAACTACCATCTCCCTGCATCCACACGGACACACAGATATCCTGGTATATTGACTATTTTCAGTACCTGAGATAGACTCATTAACAAAAATCTCTGAAGAACGGGTCAGCCCTGTGGTGTTGGGTGAGCAATTGGTTTAGCAGGGACTTCTGTGGGAATGACATCCACTTGCTGAGGGAAGAGAATCCAGTCTTCCTGTCACTCCCAGTTTTACTGATCATGCAGTTTTACATGTAAAGAGAGGCCATGCCACACAATGCTGAAAAAGTGGCAGTTTGCTGTTTAAACACAAAGCTGCCTTTCAGGCACACAGCTGAGAGTAATCCCAACCTGAGCTTATCTTTGTTTTATAAAAGCAGGAGCATCCATGAAAAGCGGACTGTAAGACCAGGGGAGGAATGGGTGGATGGGGGCAAAACTATGTGGGGGGCAAAGCTCCTGGGAGTCAGATGAACATATCACATCAGAAGAATCATCCAGACAGTGGCATCAGCTTCCTTCCCAAAATGCAAGGAGCTATCATTTGTTAGGCCCTGTCTATGCTACAACTTTTAACACAGCTCTAACTAGGTTTTGTGTCCAAACACAATGTAGCTAATCGTTGGTAATGACAGGAGCTAATTGTGTGTTGTCCTGGCCAAGGACCTAGCCTGACCCATAGTTATCTTCCTGTAACTAGTTTGGCGTGTTCTTATGTTGGCAGTACAGGCAAGAGCCATTAACCATGCCTGTGTAAACGGTTTGACCAGTCCTCCTTCCTCTCAGCTCTCTGGGCAGTAGGACATCCCAGAGTGCATTGTTCCATGTGCTGCTAATGCCACACTGTACACATGTGTTCTGGGAACTGTCCCCTGGCTGAGGCACTGGGATGTGGGTATAGGAATCACTGCCCAGTTTTTCCCAAAATGCACTTACACAAACACAGGCAGCATGGTAGCTGTCGATGTGCAAACACAGCTGGCACACGGTTGTGTCATGAAAAAAGCTGCTGTGTGAACATAACTATATTTGATTTTATGTAACTGGGTCAGATAAGAATGTCACAAACCAGTTACAAAAATATGGTTGTCTTCGTTGTCTGAGATATTCAAAGCCAAATAAGGGATTTAGATGCATTGCTCCTATTCATTTCAAAGGGAATCGTACATCTAGATCCATTCAAAAATCTCATTTATAATGCAGACAGAGCTTTAGTATCCTGTTAGATGAAAGCTCTTCACCTTAGAGCAAGGATAATGCTGAGCTGGGTTGAAGTAGAACTGAGAAGAAATGGTGATTGCAGGGCTATTTTGAAAACATGAGAAAGAAGAATGATTTTTTTGACTTTCACTAGTAACCTTTAAATTTCCTAAATCCCAGAACTATATGGTCAAAGGAAAACAAGTCATTTTCTCGTTAGCACAGTGGGAAAGGCTGTGTTGCTTTGGGAGTTAATGGACGGACTAATAGTAGGTTTGTAAGTCAATGCCATGAAGATTTGTGGCCAGGAAACAGTTCTGTGGAAACACAAAATGGAAACATCTGTTGAGAGCTGCTTTCCTTGGGTCTCTCTTCAATTCAGGAGAGTGTCAGACTGAAACTGAGCAGAAAATAAAAGGAACAGCAGCTTACAAGTGAGCACCCAAAAGTATCAGATTGCATGGAGCCACCAACCCGATGTCAGATTGCAGATGAGCACCTGTGCATAACAGCATCAGATGGATGTCGGGTTCCAGATCAGCACAGCAGGTGAGTGTAAGAATGCAGGTGAAGACTGAGGCTAGGTTGTGGATGAGATCACCATTTGGTACCAGGTATGAACTAGGAAAGGGCAAAGGAACTTGAGCCTTTATTGAAACCATGAATTGCACTGAACCCAAGCTTTTTCTGAGGTTGGAAAGGTTCAGCAATCTTTGTTTAAGTGTATATATAATATGCATGCACCTCTCCCTGGATTTCCTTGATTTTGGCAAAGATAAGAAACAAAACTAGCATGAGGAAGCCTATTCTTGAGGTCATTACAGCCTGGCTGATATTCAGAATTACTAGGACAAAGATGTTCAGATATCTTTGGATAAACATGTACAATTTAAATGCTTATCTGAAGTGAGTCCATAAATAAACTTTGGAAGTGAGCCAGTGAGAGCCAAGTTGCAGCTATACACTAAGCCTGCACCAAATGAATTCAGAAGAGTTCAGAAATCATAGCAATGCCTGATTCTTCCAATCCTCGGAGGTCCTAATCTTCAGATACACTGGAGAGAAAGTGAAAGAAAAAGTCAACTGCCAGCTAAGCCTAAATTTAATTAATTCATCCCATAGACATTTGCAGGTGCACAAGCTATATTGACATTCCCTTGGCTTACAGATTGTATAATGCCAGTTTTCTATGGGTCATTCATTCTGCTCCATCGCCTTCCTTTGCTTGGTGGTCTTGTTATCTCCCACATATCCTCAAAGTATCATGTAACCATCCTCTACTATTTCAGTTGGAGTATCTCCATTACCGGATACGATAATGAGTTCTTATCTTCTCTGTAGTCCAGCCACTACAGGGGCAGATGTGATTGATACAAATTGACACAGTGGGTACCACTGCTCCAGTTCTTTTTCTGTCCAAGATTCATTTTTTTAAAATGTAAAATAAAAGTGATGTTAAAACGTAAACCACTGAGAAGATAAGAAGTCTACAGCCCCCTATGGAAAAAGCACCAGACATTATGGGTGATTCATGGCTGTGTGTGTTTCCATAAACAGTTATTTTTATTTGTAGCTTCATTGTCAGCACATTTCAAATGATTTCTTCTGTCATCCATCTAATAACACCCCTGCCAATGGGGCAGGTGGACTTCTAGTAGTTTGTAACAAAAAGTGCAAGGATTCTAACTGCTAGTACCTTACAGATGTCTTGTTCATTTTGAAGAAGCAAATGATTATTTTGTTTCTTTGTGGATGACCACAGGATCTTTTCTGAAATGATATTAAGCAGTTGCCCAGTTATCTTGGGTTCCAAGTGATCAAGAAGGGTTTGGACTGGAGTGGCTTGGAGAAAAATTAGTGGCTATACTGTAGATTCCGGAGAGTCTTAGTCTGGTTTTATTTACAGTATAGCCAGCATATTCAACCATTGGCTAGTGGATATGGCACTGGACTGGTAGGCAGGAGATGTGGGTACTTTTCCTGGTTCTGTTGCATGACCTTGGACAAGTCACTTCACCTCCCTATGCCTTGGTTTTCCCATCTGTAAAATGGGGATAATGACACTCACCTCCTTTGAAAAGCACTTTGAGCTCTACAGATGAAAAGAGCTAGATATTATCAGATCTGTATTTAGGCACAGTTATCAGAGCATCCAAAGTTCTCAAAGTCAACAGGGGTTATGGATGATCAGCATCTCTGGAGCCTCAACATGCACTTAGAAAGTTAACTTTAGACACCCACATTGGAAAAAAATTATCCTATGCACATAGGGCTCAATTCTGAACCCACTGAAATCAGTCAACTCCTATTGACTTTACAGGTGAAGGATCAAAGTCCTAGTTCCTGTTAATGCTTTAAATAAGGATGGAGAAAACAGAAGCAAAAGCCACGTGATGTGGTACCATTTCCATAACTCTAGCAAGAATTGAGAGGTCAGCAAATTCCAATGAGACAGCTTTCATGTAGCAATTGCCATGCTGGAAACCCAATGTGCTATCCTTCAAGTTCTTCCTTAAAAACATTACATTTCTTGGGTTAGTTTTCCACCAGTAACTGTCCACCCTGCTGGAATGACTTAGCTCAGATCCTTTAATTTAGCCCATTACAAACTGACCATAAAAATGATGATTTTTTTAAATTTAAAACATGGAACTAATAGGAAACATGTTCAATCTCTTTGTCTTTATGTTACACCCTTTGTACAACTCTTCCCCCCAACCCCATCCGTGTTCTGTTTATTGAGATTGTAAGCCCTTCAGGGCTGGGCTTCTTATATATCTTGTATATATATATATAATATAATATATAACTTGTCTTCTTATATATCTGTGAAGCACCATGCATACCACTGGTGCTATATAAATAATATTATAAAATAAATCTCCCTCCTTCTTTTTACCCTCTTTTTCCCTCCTCCGCAGGACTGCTCTTTCAGGGAAGGTATGAGTCTGATGTCTTTCAAAAGGAACCGTCTTCTTCCCTGTGTGTATCTTCCATTGCTCAGGGATCAGCCGTTTATAGCTAGGGACAAACACTTCAAGGATTTTTATAAACACATGCAAAAGCAGAGCGGTTACAAATCAAGGGCCAAATTCTGCCTTGAGTTATCCCTATGTGTTTATGTCAGTGGGATGTGATCAAGAGCAGAATTTGGCCTTGTATAATTGAATTTTGAATAGATTTCATGGTTATTTCTGATATGAAATATAAAAGAACCCTTACAAAAGCCAACACCCCCATGGAATTAGTGGAGATGAGTTTTTAAGTAGAAGTGGATACAGGAAGAAGACGTTGGAGAACTTCGACATCAGTTTTACAGTAGATGATAGCAGTAACAGAGCCAGGTTTTGAGCAGTGGGAGTGATGGGCCACTGTTGTTAACACCGTCAAGTATACCTATTGGTTTGAAAAGGTGGCTGACCATACACCTAAAGGAGGCTGGGTGGGAGAGGGCGGTCATACTCCACCTCCTACCCTTCAATCAGCTCTGCCATTGGATGATAGTAGTTGTCATTATAAGAAAGGCCTCAGATCCTGTATAGTATTCTATCCCCTGAGTTAATTTTCCCTCTAGTGGTGATGTTTTGCTTCTTCACAATGTAATGGAAAAGGAAAAAAAATCAAAGCAAGAAGGTTGGCAATGTGAATTCCCAAATGGATTGAGAGACTTTGGGACCAACAGCACCCAATGGAGAATCATTTTCATAATAAAATAAGTTGTAATTAATAAAAGTCCCTGATTTTCAAACAGCAAGGATACTGTGCTTTGTTAAACTCCAAACTAACCCACTTTCTCTTTGTTTACAGTTATTTTTGATTTCTGACTAGAGATGGCTTGGGCCAGAAGATTTTGTTGAGAGACAAATAAAGAATACTATTAAATACAAATAAGTGCATGATCATAATATTAAGGGTTGGCTCTCAAACCGATAAAATCCAGGAAATTCCATGGTTGAACTTTCACTTCCCTTTTGTGCTGTTTATGCTGGACTTAAGGGACAAAATTCAACCTCTCCAGTTTGCACTCTGGATCTATTTGAAAGCATGATGCACTTAATGGGCTCTGTATGGGAGCTTGTTCTTTGTAGCGGAATTTGCTCCCCTTATGTAGGATGATGTGCCTGGAGCACTCAGGTGATGATCTTGACTCGTTTGATTATGTAACTGGAATACAGGAATCAAAGCAGGGAAAAGTGGTGGAACTCTACTCATGCCTCCTATTGATTTCTTGTGCACTGGTGGCTGCTGCCCCTTTCCTCTTATGCCTCTTGTTTGTACACGTTCTGTGGTCATATTCCCTATCAGTCGCTAATCTCATTGCTTGGTATTAGTCAGGAAACTGAATCAGGTTTCCTCTATGTTCCTAATTAGCATTCTAAATACAACTATAAATTCTAGCATTCAGGCCTCAACATTTAACTAGTTGTCAGCAATAATAGTCCTACTCTAATAGCCAGTAACTTAATTCTTCTGAAATGAAAAGACATATTAGGAACAAAATATTGCCAGTAGTGCTCTGGATGGTAAACTTTTTGGATACTAAAATCTTTACTTTAAAAATAGTGAAATGTTGAGCTCTGAGGGTATAGAAAATGGAATTACAAAGCATAAACCATGTAAATATGGGGCATTTTACTGATGTAAAGGAACAATAAGAGTAGGCCTAAACTCTGGTCTAGAAAACTGTGTACGTGGTCAAAGGGCAGAAGGAGAAAGTGAAGAAAATTCCGAAGTAAAGCAATTGCAACAACCAGTCTTAAAAAACATGTAGTTGCAACAGCAAATGTTAGGAAAGCCGTTAACCGCAAAAAAACAACCTGTTAATAAACAGGAAAGCTTTTTTTCCTCTATTCTTAATCAGGGAAAAATAGTAATGAGGAAGTGTGCTTGACTAGATGTTGCCTTTGAACTATAAAAGCTTCCGTGTTCCTGTGTTAGGGAGAGCAGCCAGGCTGGTTATCTCTCCCTGCATTGCTTGTAATAAAGGAGCCTCAGGCTGTTCTGATCCAAACACAACACGTGGTAAATTTTTCCACGACAATTCTTGGTGCCGTGACTCGGATCCACAGTATACCACTGGACCGGAGGACCGGAGGACCGTGGACCATTCCCCTCTGGACCTGGGTCCATCTAAAAGGTAGGAGACCTCTTAAATCTCTGTTTTGGGTTCTGGTGGAGGACTGCCCGTAGGCTCTGGTTTTGAGTGAGTTGCATGCTGGATCCGGACCTTTTGCTGCCAGACATGCCTGACGCCCTTCTGTTTGCCCCCGGAAGAGCCACATGTGTGTCAATATGAGTGAGGGTCACAGGAAGATGCCCAGAGCTCTCTGCGAAGACCACCAGCTTGTGACCGGAGATGTCTCTAATGCAAGCCCTGTGACCGCAACTAGTAGGGCTGAAAGAGGGCCCTGACCAAGGCAGCCTCGCTCTGCATGGCTTGACCGGCGAGGGGCCTGCCTGGGTCTAGGATTCTGTGACCCTATCCTTTTCCTGTCCTCGGATGGTCCTTTCCCGTGACCTCTTTCCTCCCCTTCTCCTCACTACCTGAAGGCGGGTCATGAGCCACTGACTGGACCGGCCACCTCGCCTGAAGCACCAGAGTAAGCGGTGCCATTCTCTCTGAGACTAGCCAACACTCTTTGTTGAAGGGGGCTGTAGGAGAGTTGTGGACATCCTAAATAAGCCTTCCCTGTGTGCAAGATCCGAGCAAAAGTGACCTGGAATACTGGGGGCCGGAGGATACAAGGTGATCCCCGCCTCGCTAGGGAACTGGGGGCTGGAGGATACAAGGTGATCCCTGCCTCGCCAGGGAAATGGGAAAGGGGGCTGGTGGATCTAAAGGGATCACCACCTCGCCAAAAGGCACACCTGCGTACTACATGTACACAAATTACAGTCCTTTCATTTGCAAGTTTCTGAAGAAATGGAATTGGTATACAAGATGCTCCAAAATTACAGTTTCCCCTAGAGCAGTGGTTCCCAAACTTTAACCACCTGTGAACCCCTTTCACTAAAATGTCAAGTTTCGCGAACCCCCTCCTAAAAATGAATATTTCCGGGGATTTTCTCCTTTACCTGAGTATAAATTATAAAAGCAGTGATCATGGAAATATAAAATTTGTTTTTATGACATGCTTATTACACACTATTTATTATTAATTACTGTTTATCATTACATATTTTTATTACATTTATGAAAAGGGCAACACTCTTCCAAGATCTCACTTTCATAGCTTGTATCACTTTGAATAAGCCTGTTATAAGACAAGGCTCCTATGTTTCATCAAGGAGTATCAGACGTGAAACAGCATGAAGGGATTTAAGAAGCCAACTCAAAGAGTTCTTCCTACACAAGCATTCAGGTCTTGAGCAGTCCAGGCAAACAACGCATGTTACAACAAAGCTTAAACTTGTTCTTCATAATAATTTTAAAAACAAGATTAGCTGACTATTTAATTTTAAAAACAGCAAAAAATATCCACCTCCCTTTCCATTTCTTATAAGGAGTCTTGAAGTTTAAATCTCCTCAGTGTGATAGATGTGCTTGCTTTGATCTGCTTAGCTCTTGGAAGTCCAGGGGCTCCGGGATCCTGGTCCCGTGTTGCCCGGGGTCCCTAAGGACAGCTCTGTCTGCCATTAGGGAATTTTTTCCTGAGAACCCCCTGTAACATTTCGTGAACCCCCAGGGGTTCACGAACCCCAGTTTGGGAACCACTGCCCTAGAGGGAAGTTTCGACTTTGACAAGATTGTGCACCTTAGAGGTGCACTTCTAGCCAATAAAAATCGGGCAAGGTCAATTTGATGCATATTTCGATTGGTATGGAGAAACAGAAAAACGGCGCCGTGAATCTCAAATGAGGAGTCTCAAGGACTCCCAAGAGAAACTCAAAATACAATTAAAGGAGACAAAAGAGAAATTGGGTTTTCCCAAGCCCCTGCTGGCCAGCAGATATCTCTCTACCCTTCGAGGCCTCTTCGGGGTACCCCCTTAGCCCACTCCCTCCCGGGAGCACGCTCAGCCCAAGTCGCAGAACTTGTTGCTCTTGCCCGCGCCTGTACCTTGGCCAAGGACAAATCTGTTACCATCTACACAGACTCCCGATATGCCTTCGGGGTGGTTCATGATTACGGACAACTATGGAAACACCGAGGATTTCTCATGTCGGGGGTGGGGGGGCAAGGATTAGTAATGGGCCTTTTGTTAATGCTCTTCTCTCTGCATTTCAGCTTCCTTCTGCTATTGCCATTGTACATTGTATTGCTTACCAGAAACCTTATGATGATGTTACAAGAGGAAATGCTTTGGCGGATGTTACTGCCAGACAGGCGGCCCTTTCCGAGTCTCTGGCTCCATTTAATCCTGTTTTCTTTATTTCACAGTCCGCCCCTCTGCCTAATACCCTCCAAGATTTAGCTCTCATGCAGGATTCAACCTCCGAGCATGAGAAAGATTGATGGAGGCGGGATGATTGTTCTTTACATCCTGATGCCTTGTGGCACTCCCCAGACGGCCACTTGGTGGCGCCCAAGGTCTTGCTCCCCTATCTTACTCGTGTGTCCCATGGAATGGCGCACGTGAGCAAAGGGGGGATGATAGCATCAGTGCTGCAACATTGGTATGCCCTACATTTTTCCATAATGACGCAACAGTACTGTAACTCTTGCCCTATCTGCCTAGTCGACAACAGTGGCAGACCAGTACGAGCAAAACCAGCTGCGCACCCCACCCCTTGGGGACCCTTTGTGAATATCCAGATTGATTTTATCAATATGCCGAAATGTTGTTCTTATGAATATGTCCTTGTTTGTGTTTGTATGTATTCTGGATGGATAGGGCTGATTCCATCACAGTGGTTAAAAGATCGTTAAAAGACTTTATCCCCCTGGTCTACCTGTCTCTATCAACAGTGACTGAGGCACCCATCTCACAGGCCGGATTATGCAACAGGTTTGCAAGGCCCTTAACGTCACCCAACACCAGGCACTAATGAAATGTGTCAGGTCTCTTTATACACAGGTGAAAGAAGCACTACCCAAGGATCCTGAGCAACCCTGCCATTCGCTGGAACCAGGAGACTGGGTCTACATAAAGGTCCATCAGCGAAAGACCACCCTGGCCCTGCGCTGGAAAGGCCCGTACCAAGTCCTGTTAACAACCAACACCCGCTGTGAAATGCCAAGGACTGACTGCCTGGACCCATGCTTCGCACTGCCAAAAGGCTCCTCCGCCACAAGATGGCTCTCTGATTAATAAGCGGAATATCACTCCTTCTGGTGCTGCTGTTCCTTCTGGACAGCAGAAGAAAAGGACAAGGGGAAGTGCTGGTAACCTTTCCCTTGTCCACTGACAAAACTACCATGCATTTGGATTTTGCTGAAAGACCCAAATCATTACAGGGTGATGTGCTAGTAACCTCTCCCCTGTATAATGCTAAACCACGACTGTTCCAAAAGAGAAAAAGGAACACTCGCACTGCTGAAACCCCCAAGGTCCAGGAATTCCTTACGACAAAGGACATTAAAAATTGGCCCTGGTGGAGGAAACAGAGTATTGTACATTGGCAGGGAGGGACTTGTGGGAGCCATGCTTGGGGATGTGGTGTTGATTGGGTCTTGGGGTTTATTCCACAGGCTGCGCCCCGTGTTTTCGGGCAAGTACATCAGGATGTACTGCCCTCCCTAATTGGCTTCCGGAGGATGAATACCAAAAACACCTTGCTGCCACAAACATTAACCCCACCATCCCCTC